ATTTTCTTCCTTCTCTAATATATTTTGTTTTTCAAATGATATCGAAATTTTAGCCTGGCAGCAAGCCCAAATTTTGCTTCCTTTGAAATCGCTAAAAAGATGTGTTTTCATTTTTGAAACCTTACTGCTTTATGAAAGCTGTTGTTATACAGCCATGACTTGAGAAAGGGTTAATAATTGTTAGTGAATCCTCTGTACCACAGCTTGGAAGCACAAACAACAGTTCAATGCACTATTCTGCTGACCTATTGCATCTGATCAACTGTGGTTTTATTTCTAGCAATGCCAGCAGGTGGGAACTGACAACATGTTTCTTTGGAATTGTAAAGAAGGATATTCTCTGATGGAGAATTAGCTGGAAGTAAGCGAGGTTGTTTGGCACAGATCTAAGCAGGGACAATGCTTGATTATGGCTATCACTCTCCAGCTGCTGTCAGAATGTTAAGTTTGCTTTCTTGAGGCCTGACAACTAACACATTTCTTTTTCTAATTAGTATCTGCTACTGTAAGATGCTGATATTTTACTGCATGTCAGATGTGCAGGGCTGAAATACATCACTGAACTCAGAGGTAGGTGTGAGTGCTAGGCATTATTTTTTTACCTCTCACAGTGAATTCAAAGCATCTCTGTGTCTTAAAAAAGCTACGTGGATGGAGAAGTTAGTGTGCACAAACCTTCAGTTTTGTACCCTGAGAAAGGCTGCAGAATGAAGCAGACAAATCAAATATCAGCTAAACAAAATACCCTGAACACTGGTTTAATTTTTGTCAGCATATTCAGGAAATATTCCCTTCATTAATATTTCCTCATTGTATCAGCAGAACAGTGTTTTTCCCAGATGCAAGGGGACAGGGATATTTACACCATGAAGCAGCAGCCCTGCCCACCAGATTCAGGTCGATAAATTAAGCTCAGCTCTGTTAAAGATTTGTCACTTTGCCACCTGTGTAATGATACTGTATGTAAGGAGGAGTCAGGGCTTTCACCTGAGGCAACTATTAAGCACAGCTAGACAGGAGTAAAGGAGCAATGTGGGAACTAATGTGTGGATGCAGGTGTGACTGAAAAAAAAATGGGACCATAGGTATAAATTCAGCCAATGCTGAGTAGCAGCCTGCTCCAACTTTTTAGCATGAAGCTCTGTGAAATTTTGCTGTATATCTGAGGGGAGAGTGTTTCGGGCTAAGCTTTATTTTTCAGGCTGACAGCACAAGCATTATTTCATAAACCACTTTAGCATCCTGAGGTAAAGGTGAGAGTGGTTTTTCATCCAGGGTGAAGGCAGTAGTTTCTCACCTTAAGTGCACATAAGAGGTTTCATTCGAAACTGATTGTAAGAAAGGGCTCTTCACCCAGCAACAAGTAGGTGAGCTGAGTCTTTTTTTTTTTTCTTTTATTGCACCAAAAAAGATGGATTGTTATTCAGAAGACTACAGCTAATATTTCTTACTAAAGTGTTGCTATTTTTTAGATGGTGCCTGAGCAAGTCACAAAATACATTTAAGGGGGGGAGAAAAGCAGCCAATTTAATTTTTCTTTCTTCTTCAAAAGTTCATTACAAGATTGTGAGTTTCAGACTGAGTCTATCCAAATTCCAATAATATTATCCCATAGACAATAGCCATAATTATTTTGTAAAACTATCAAGCTTGGTAGTACAGCTCCTGATGTCCCAAAGATGCTTAGAGCAATTCTAGGTGCTTCCAGTCAAAATGTTAATAATCAGTCCTTGTGCAGTGAGGCCACTTGTTTCCAGCAGTACTGGTTGTCTTAAGTGTATGTTTAAGGTTTGCAGGTCAAAAAAGAATTTAATGTAATTTTCGTTAATGAAATTCTGTACCCCAAATAGTCTCTTCAAAGACAGGCTTTCAAAGATAAGTCTTCAGCTCTTTGCAGGTTAAAAATAGACAAACTTTTTTTTTTTTCAGCACCAGAGATAAATGAACCCTTTATTTGTTGCAGATATAATTTATATATGTACCAGTACTTTATTATATATGTCTGTTTTCCTTTCTTTGTTTGCCAAGAAAGGCCTTCCTTTTGTACATGAATTTAACTCCCTCTGCTTATGACTAATCTCCAAGAAGATTTAAATTCTGGTATCAGGTTGACAAAGAATTGGGTCACAAGGTTATAAAGCAATAAAAACAAATGTTTAGCAAGGTTTCCTCCTACCTATAAGCAGAGTTTCTTCTTCATATATGAAAGTCACAGAGGCTCTGTAAGAGTTCCTAGAATTATCTGTACAGAATAAAACAGTTGTAAAGGTCTTATTGTGGTAAAGCACTGAAGCACATGATTTACTCTCAGACTGCAAGCAGTCCCATTGATTTCAGAAACTAGTGACATGCAGAAGGTTAAACATGTGCTTGCTGAGCTGGTGCCAAACCTGGTATCGTTCTTCTGAATAGTTTAGAAAAACTTCTACTGTTATTAAAACAAACAAACAAACAAACACCCCCACAAACAAACAAACAAACAAAAACAACCACAACTAAGCTATAAGTTGTATTTTAAGTCAAGATATGAAAGAACCAGCTCTCATTAAAAAATAAGCTAGTTATTTGTGCAAACACAGTAGGATTTTTTGTCTCTGTTGCTCCTGTAAGCACAGCAAGGCCCCGTGTGCATCATCCCTTGCACAGCCAAATAAGTACTACGGTTTTATTAACTTTCCTTCACAGGTTGCCTGTTCAGTGGAATTTACATTTCAAAGAATAGTCATAGCGAAATCTCCAAGCACATGGAGCTGTACTGTCAAATACAGGATAGAGATTTTAATTGTCTTTGAATTCCAAGCAGGTGCAATTCAACATCATCTGTAAGATTCATGTTAAATTCAGGTTTGAGGAATGTATTAGTTCTGAGCTCTCTACTCTCTGCTATGTTCTCAGATGCAAATTGCTCCATGGTAGTGGAATGATATGCTGTTTATTTAACATGTGGGACTCTGACGTTTTCAGCGGAATAAAAATTCTGGGTCTAAGTGAGTTATAAAACTTATGCTCTGACTGGGAAAAAACCACTCAAACTTCTAAAAGCATAAAATCTAACCCATAAAAGGGAAAAATCAAGTAAGGAGATGACCTTTCTCTGTATATCTCTTTAACTTCTGTTTCAGTGTGATCTTTTACCTTGCATTGCAATTCATGAGTACTAATGGTCTTTATAGTTAATTTACCATCTTTAATTTCTTTTATCTTGATTTTGATTATATTTAAGATGTCTCCCGTACTGTTTCATTCTCTCCTAATTTTTATGAGCATCTGAAAGGAGAAATGTAATATGTAGACTGAACGGCATTCTTATTCTGCGCTTCGTTGCTGTGCATTCATCAGCTCTATGTCAGCAAACCTGAGCAGTATGAGATTCTTCAGTTTCCAGGAACCGTATAGCATAACTTCACTAATTTTTCCATGTGTTCTCTTCCCTTGACAGATTTTTGAGAAATTAACATCAGAAAACAAACCTAAATACAGTGACCATGGCAGGTTTAGCCAGGATTTTGGATCATTTGCTTCCTCAGCTCTGCAATAAGAAAATAAAAAGAAACCTCTTGTTTAGAGTGATACTTTGTAGGTACTTTAGGCTGTGAAATATGTATGAGAAGGCCATCCCAAAATAAAGGGATCTGGTTGATGGAATAATCAACAGCCACTCCCTGAGTTGTCATTCTTACTGTACAGTGCAAGTGGGTTAAAAACTTTCATAAATGAAGTTACAAACAAATAGCTCTTCTGAAGCAATTGTTTTCAGGAGCTACTAATAATGTCCATGGTGGGACTTGTGGGCTAAGAAGATCTGCTCATTTTGGTGAGAATCACGCATGTCCTAACTAACAGAGTGTGTGTTTCAGTAACATGAAAGTGCTGGGTGAATGCCAGAACACTGCAAGTTTTGGAAGGGTTTCTCTTCCACTTGATTTTCTCACTGCATGACAGAAGTTCCGAAGTCATATCCAGTTAATAAAAGGATGGGGAAAAACAGAAGAAAAGGGAAGACATTCAAAGGGTCCTGTAGAATTTTTCATGATGGAAAAAGCAAAAAATCCATGCTTTGATGCCTGACGTTCTCTAGTCTATGAAGTAAAGGAAAAGAGCTGTGAAAGTTTTGGCCATATTTACATTGACACAGTTAGAGATTTATACATTTTGTCATAAATAAGTAATATTTAACTGTGACCAAAAAAGGATCTTGTACAGTTAATACCCCTTTATGGTTGACATTGAATTAAAACATTCTGTAAGGGGCATAGTACTGCAGGATCAATTAAAAGTAAATGTATTCATGAAAGTTACATGAAGTAATGTCTGCCAGAGCCTTGCAGACACTGTTCTTCATATAGCTGTTTGACACCTTAACTAAACAAAAAAGCATCCATGTATGTTGTCTATTCCATATTCGTTGGTGCCATTATAATGGGAAAGCAAAAGTCCCTGACGAAATCAATTTTTCTTAGGTAAAATTCATAAGAGCATTCAGCTAAGTCACTTTCAAAATAGCTACCAAACAGGTGTGCTGACTGTAGGGTTTCACCAAGACAGGTTCATAAAACATTATGGTTAATCACTACATTTGTGCTAAAAATCAACACAAAATGAAAATCCAGGCAAAGTCACACTAGTATATTCAACTCTTCCTTGTTAGAAAATCTTTTGTTCATGACCTTAAATATAAAAAGAGGTGTATGCAAACTAAAGTGTGTGTTGGATGGGAACCATCCTTCAGTGTAATCTTCTGTGGACAAAATAATGATTCACATCTGGGGTGGAGTAATGCCAGGCACAGCCACAGATTGGGCGAAGAGATTCAGAGCAGCCCTGCCAAGAAAGACCTGGGGGTATCAGTTGATGAGAAAATGAACATGAGCCTGCTTCAGTGTGCACTCACAGCCCAGAAAGCCAACTGTATCCTGGGCTGCATCAAAAGGAGTGTGACCAGCAGGTCGAACAAAGCAATCCTGCACCTCTACTCTACTCTTGTGAGACCTCACCTGAAGTATTGCAGGCAGTTCTGGTGTCCTCAACATAAAAAGGACATGGAACTGTTGGAACAAGTGCAGAGGAGGGCCACGAGGATGTTCAGGGGACTGGAGCACTTCCCATATGAAGACAGGCTGAGAAAGTTGGGGTTGTTCAGCCTGGAGAAAAGAAGGCTGCGTGGAGACCTCATAGCAGCCTTCCAGTATCTGAAGGGGGCCTAAAGGGATGCTGGTGAGGGACTCTTGATCAGGGACTGTAGTGACAGGACAAGGGTAACGGGTTAAAACTTAAACAGGGGAAGTTTAGATTGGATATAAGGAAGAAGTTCTTTACTGTGAGGGTGGTGAGGCACTGGAATGGGTTGCCCAAGGAAGTTGTGAATGCTCCATCCCTGGTGGTGCTCAAGGCCAGGTTGGACAAATCCTTGGGTGAGATGGTTTAGTGTGAGGTGTCCCTGCCCATGGCAGGGGGTTGGAACTAGATGATCTTAAGGTCCTTTCCAACCCTAACTCTTCTATAATTTTATGATGAGTTTTCTGTTTTCTTTGAATGAAAAACCAGCAATTTCAGCTTTGGTGAGCTCAGGAGCTGCACTAATTAATTTGATTAATGCTCAAAATGCAGCAAGTAGGAAAGAGGAACTGTGAGTTTTCACTTGTTCCTTGCCAGTTGACTGGAAATAAACTGTACCACTCTATAGGCCATGTTGCATTTTTAACCACAGTGTTTTTGGTAGAACCCCGCCCCAAAAAATGTAGCAATAAGAAACCCATTACAAGTTCTTTGAACAGCAGTAGTACAATGTCTTTTTCTAGTTGTGAGGGATTTTATCCCTGAGGTCTGCTGTGTGAAAAAAGGACATGGTATCACAGAGTTACGGTTGGAATGGTGCTGGAAGATAATATTCAGCAATAATAGTCAGGACCATAGAGCCTCCTATAGCTCCTGTAAACCTAATTTTTGTGTATATCATAACATTTGAGTGAAAAAGGAAATCTAAATTAGTGCAAGAGATTGCAATCAGTCTTTGAAAGATGAGTTTTATGTCTCAGAGATGTCAAATTTATGTACTCCTTATCCTGACCTAGCTTTCTTTTTTCTAGTGTATCAAAGATAAGGACATATCTGTGCAGAAAGTGGAGACCAATTTGCACTGCTCTCACATAGATGCTGTTTTATCTGAACTTTTGAATCAGTATCTACTTTTTACATACCCAAAAATATTTTTTTACTTAAGCTGTCAGAAATATTTTATTCATTAATAAAATATTTGCTTTAGTCCTCCCAATGGTAGGTGAAAGGATTCCTGAAGAGTTAGTGCTAATTAATACAAATATGATTTCTTGCATATTCTCTCATTCAGCTCTGATCTGCCAATATTTCTATTGACATTTCATCATGACTGTTTTACCTGCTTCTTGAGAACATGAAAGAATCCTTTGTGAATGTCAGTTTGTTGGCAAGGTATTTATTTATACTGCAAAACCAAATTGGTTTGTAGCTGAATTAATTGCAGGGGTCTCTAGGTAGCGGCTGGTTCCCAAATCCCTGGTAAAAGAATGCTAATAAAAGAAGGTGGGCCAGGATTTGTCCATTTAATCTTATGATGAGTCTCAGTAATTTCAGTGATACATGATGTGGCCAGAATCAAAGCGAAAGGTTCAACACAGCTTATTATCTTTATCCGTAAACAGCTGTTTATTGTGCTGGAGAAAACAAACCACTGGATAGCTATAGGATAAACATGTTTAAATCTGTTACCCAGACTGGGTGGTACAGTAAGTTATACAATAATTAGAGGATGAATATATTTAGGTTAATTGCTACCTAACAATATTATGTTGTTGCAGTGTGGTACAATATGTGCCAAGAAAAGCCTGTATATTTGTTTCTGCTGTTAACACAAAAACTTGTGCTCCAAAACATAACAAAGAAAAGGCATGTTTGAAATATTTCCATTCTCCTTCTGAGGGACTGTGTTTCAACATATGGTGAGAATAATGAAAAGATAGCCTATGCAAGAATACCTTCTGTCTGTACTGCCATCATATTCTTTTTAGATTACTGATATTTATGGATAATATGTGCCTGTGGAAAACACTTCAGGTCACTTTCATCATCTTGCTCTTTTTCAATTTGTCAAAACACATTTGTATCAGTCTATCCATTCAATATCACTTTTAACAAAAGATTTTATAAGTTTGGACATTTTTTGAAAGACTAGATACTTTTGCCCAGCCAGACTGCACAAACAGGTGAGGCTGTGAATAACAACTTGAAGTACACAGTTTTCAGTCACCTGGTAATGGAGTTGCTCCTCTTATAAGTCATTGTAATTACATACATGTGCACTATTGCAGAAGCATTTATTCAGTTGGTACTTGCTTAGAATCTTGGTATTGTAAATACAGGGCTTTGGGAAGTTTATTTTGATAGTTTGGCAGCTCTGATAACATAATCATAGAATCATAGAATCAGCCAGGTTGGAAAAGACCTTTAAGATCATCCAGTCCAACCCTTATCACAGCACTGCCAAGGCCACCACTAACCCATGTCACTGAGGGCCTCATCTACACAGTTTTTGAACACTTCCAGGGACAGTGACTCCAGCACTGCCCTAGGCAGCCTGTTCTAATGCCTGAGCACCCTTTGGGGAAGGAATTGCTCCTCATCTCCACCTAAACCTCCTCTGGTGCAGCTTGAGGCTATTTCCTCTTGTCCTGTCCCTTGTTACATGGGAGCAGAGAGCAGCCCCTTCCTGGCTCCATCCTCCTGCCAGGCAGTTGTAGGGAGCGATAAAGTCCCCCCTGAGCCTTCTGTTACCCACACTAAACCCCAATAGGTCCCTCAGTCATTCCCCATCCCACCTGTGCTCCAGGCCCTGCACCAGCTCCATTGCATTCTCTGGCCCTGCTCCAGCACCTAAATGTCTCTCTTGCAGTGAGGGGCCCAGAGCTGAACACAGGATTCAAGGTGCAGCCTCACCAGTGCTCAGTGCAGGGGAACAATCACTGCTCTGGCCCTGATGCCACACTGGTGATGATACAGGCCAGGGTGCTGGTGGCTTCCTGGCTGCCTGGGCACAAGCTGCTGGTGTTCAGCTCCATCAGTCAGCACCCCCAGTTCCTTTCCCATGAACAGTTTCCAGCCACTGTTCCCCAAGCCTGGAGCATTGCATGGGGTTGTTGTGGCTCAAATGCAGGATCCTGAACTTTGCGTTGTTGCCTGAACTTTGCCTTGTTCAATTTTGCCAGTCTCATCCCACTGGCCACAGTTTATTGATCCAGCCTGCCCAGATCCCTCTGCAGAGCTTCCTACCTTCCAGCAGATCAGCGCTCCCACCCGACTTGGTGTCATCTGCAAATTTACACATCCCAGTATAGCACTGTATGGAGCAGTTTGCACCAGTACAGACCAATATAGGCCACTATGGCCCCAGATACTACCGGGGTTTCAATATCCCAGTGCTCCCAGTCTCTGCCACAGGTCTCTTCCTGCTTGCTGCCATGCTCAACTCCCAGTCCCTCCCAGGGTTCCCACTACCTGCTGCAGGTGCTCCCAGCCCCACTCAGTCCTCCCAAGTCCCTCCCAGTGCTCCCAGTCCCTGCTCACAGGTGCTCATGCTCATCCCCCACCCGACCTCCTTGCTGGGGTTTTTTTTGGGGCAGACACCCCAAATTAGGCACCCACCCACTCTGGGGCTGCCCCCCAGCTCCCTGATACTGGGAGGGAGTGTGTCTTGGGGTGTCCCATGGAGTGTGGTTTGGGGGCAACAAGGAGCGTTTGGGGCTGGTGGCTTTGCGGGGGGGGGGGAATGGAGCGGATAAGCAATAATTGACCATTCTTTGAACTTTACACAGATTTTATTTAAAAGCATAATAACATAAATATCTGTGCATGTAGTACTTTTACAGATGTGCATGTGGGCAGCTTTTATAATGAAAGAATAAGAACTTTTTTGCTTCATCTTTGTAAACAAGAACTAATTTAACGCCATGTTGCTAAGTGAGAGCATTAAAAGGTTGAAAATACTTTTTATTCAGCTATATTTCTACTGAGGTAGCATGAAAATATGGTGTCATTTAAAAATACTAAATTTAAAAGAAAAAAATGAGTTTCTGGGTAAATGAGTGGTTACAAAGAGTTACTACAAATTTAGGATAATATTTTTAAGAGGCAGTTATGAAGTGGTGTTCTGTCATCCTTAAATTAGTATTATGCTTAGAGACACCCTGCATGAGGTTTATAATCAGCTAAAGGACTAGTGCAGCACAGCTCAAATAATATACTTTATAGTCTGCTATGCAGGATATTCAATTTTGTGAACAAAATACTTAAATTGTCTTTGATTTCAATATTGTTCTGAAAGGCTAATGGTGAAGAAATAGTACTTTTTTAGTAGTAATGGTGTTAGAAATATTAGAAGTATTTAGAAGTAATAATAGTATTTTTGTTCATGTTTGTATGTAGGACAAATAGGTAGAACAAAAGGAGTGATCTCTGATGCTGGACAAGATTTCATATTATGTACGGAACAGCACTCAAAGAATGACAATTCTGATGGCGTTTACTATTTGAAGATAATATATAGCACAGGACAGATTTAGACTCAGTTATAGTATGAATTTAGCTGGTTAATGTGGACCTTTACTTGAGCATAGTTTTACTTTTCAGCCTAATCGTGTTTGTTTGCTCTCAGCTTTTCATAATTAATTAAAAATTCTGGTTAATGCAAGAAAAATGGCATGTCCAACAGTTTCTCACAGATATCAATTGAAATGAGCAACCAAATTAATGCCATATGACAATGACAATTTTGTAAATCATTTTTTGACCTGATTTGCCTCTAGAAGAGTTTATGCTAAAAATATTTATTCTAATACAAGCACATACCAACCATTTTTATCCCACCCACAAGCAATTCATCCTTAAGTTTTAATGCGGAAAGAACTCTTTGGAATTAGCTGGAAGTTTTGTTTGATAAAGGAGTCTAGTTTTAACTGCTAAGCCAGCTAGTTCCAGAATCAATTTTTTATTGTTAGTGTAATATATTATATTAAATTATATTCCCTCTACCATTATTACCAGCAATGTCAATGATAGCTACTGATTACCTTCTATACCATTAGGAATAGGGAATACTTGTGCCCAGCTAGTAGAAACTTGATCTTGGATCAACCAGTGTACTGCAATGAAAGTGGAATAACTCATGGGATGAAATTCTCACTTAAGAGCAAAAAGTTCTGTTTTTTTTCCAGTGAAATTTCCACGTTTCTCTCAGCATACTTATTTCCTACTAAAGAAAAACAATTTTAATTACACAGAAAGGATGTAAGCATAAAATTATTACATTTCTTTTATGGAAACTAAAAAAACACACAGTATAATTAAAAAATAACATTGCATCATTAATGAAAAATTCATTGTCTGTCCCCAGTGCTTGACAAGAAGGAGGGAGGAATCTGGCATATTGAAAGAAGCCTCTTATTGAAAAAATATTTAATTATACTAGAAGTTTCATTTTTATACAT